CCCAGAGGTCGGGGACCGAGTGCCCCGACCTTGCAGGAAGAGGTTTTGCAACGAAACGAGCACTAATTGTCCCCAGCTGGACGAGGACAGGGGTAATTAAGCTTCTCACTCACATGTCAAAGGTGCCAACGCCACGCCGGGCCAAGCGGGGATGTTTTTGGGACAGCCCTGAGGTCACCTCGGGAATCAAAGCAACTGCAGCAGCTCGCTGCTGACGGCACGTGGCTGCTTCTCCCATCGTGGGCGGTGGTCCCGTCGCCCGGAGGGGTTTGGCAGTCACGCTGCTGTCGCCTTCACCGTACGGGGTGAAGAACCATGGTGACGCGTGATGATACACGACATAGGGATGCAACGCTGACGGGCCTCGGGACCACAGGTCTGGCGGAGGACAGGGCTGCCTGTTTGCGACTGTCGGGTCCCTTTCGGCGGCGGGCCGGGGGGAGACGGCTGCTGACTGCCTCGCCAGCTGGCGTCCAGGGGAAATGGTTTACCATCGGGGGTTTTAGTGGGCCAGGAAAAGAAAACCTGAGGTTTGCAGCGTTAACAGCGACAGAGATGAGGCAAACAGCATCTTCCACCGACCGACACGACCAAGCTCAGCTCTGCCGCCTGCTCTAACTCCAGCGCGTCCCACTCGGGACCTGCACACGAGCTTCAGTTCCCTGGTTTTCTCCTCCTGCGCCAGCTCGGCTAAGAACACCTCCTGTCCTTCCCGCAAACCCCAGCTTCCCTGATGCCCATTCAGAGCACCCAATGTAGCAAGACCAAAATAAAAGGGACGGAAAATGGGGTTTCTTTCAGAAATCTGTCTGATGCCAGTGGAGTTGCCGGTCAGAGGACAAGCTCTCGGTGTTCTCCTAAGAGGCCCCTTAACGTAACGGAACCACTTGACCCATCTCTGCAGGGAATAGCCTTTATGTCTCGCCCTGCAAAGCACTGCTGGGCAGTGGGAATCCCCGGTCCAGCCATCCCTGGGGCCGTCGAGGTCCCGTGGGCTGCCTGGCGTGGCCACAGAGCCCCCCGGTCACCCTCCCCGGGGCTGGTGCGGGGAGCGTTTCCCCTCCAGTCGCTGGAGCAAACCTGGAGCTTGGGAAGGGCGCGAGGGGCATCCCACGCCAGAGAGACAAGAGAAATGTAAAAGCGTCTTTTAATATAAATATAAATCCATCTGAAGGGCTCCAGGAGGGGACCGCGCCCTGCGAGGGATGCCCGGGGTGGGGTGGGCTTGGTGGGGATTGCGGGTGCCGGAGCCCAGCCAGTGCC